TTTAAAAGAAAAAAAAACTTACTCAATTCTGATTTCCAACGGCACAGTTGGCATGAACGGTGAAATTGGTACATAGAGTGTGTAGAGACCACGTGGTGGCTTACAGCTATCACCTGTACAGTAGCGACCATCTATTGTAACATTGAAATCCAGTATTTCGATGGTTACACCCGATGCTAACGGTGAGAAAATTGCTCGTTTTCCAGGCGATCTCGCTCGATTTTTGGAATTTTGCTGCATTTTCAAGGATGGATGGTGCTGCGACAGCGCGAAAACCGTTTGATCACCCTGAAAACTCATAAATGACGTTAAAAATGGATAAAAAAATCAAAATTTGAATCTCCTCTATAGTAACTCTCTGCGAGACCGGAAGCACTCGGAAGTAGCCTAAATGATAGCAACTGCCAGCAGCAACTACCCATTGACAAGACTACCAACAGCTTTCAATTTCAAGAGTTGCTTAAAAGCAGTCTAACAGCAGGTATGAAACATGATCAGTACCAGTTTGCCATCGAAACGAATGAATGAACTATACAGGGACTGGCTGAATCCCTGGCGGAATCGAATTTTTACAATAATAAACCGAAAAACGATAATTTGTGTACGTCCAAGAAAATCAAGGACTGCATATGAAGGCACTAAAAGAAATCAATCCAAGGCAAGCTATTTAAGAATTACGCAGAGGCTTTCCTTCCCTCTCTCTTACTCCATAACCCTCAGGGCATTTTCCCTCACGTTCCACCCTTCTCTTTTCCTATTACGAATTAGCAACCCCTCCTCTCACTCCCCTCTTTTATTAGGGGTTAGCAACAGTGACAAGCTAAGTAGGATCTGTGTATTTGAAAGTTAGTAGTTGAAGAGAAGGTCATGTAAGAAAGGAAGAAAGAAAAAAAAAAAGGAAAAAAGGAAAAGGGGAAAACGGAAAAGGAAAATTTAATTTTTTTAAAAATCTTGCAAAAAAATATTTTTTAAAAATGCTAAGAAATGTTTCGGTCCATTAAGTTGTACACATTTCTTACCGTTACTACAATTGGATCTCGTCAGTACGACGACTGTGGTAACGAAATTAATTAAGGTACTTCAAATTAAGAGGAGGTAGTTAAAACATTTTTGATAAAAAATCTGTTAAAAAGATAACATAAAAGAAAAAAAATAAACCTTTTCAGAATTTATCGGATCGCTCGAAAGGCTGTACTGATCACGTCCCTCGCAGCAGTACATATGACAATGCATATGATCACATGAAGCGCTCAGCGGTGGCGCATTTGGTTGTATTGGCGGTACCCAGGCACTGGTTTTCACCTGTACAATGTGGCCTATTTTACTGGCTTGCTCCGTTGTTGGCCCAACTGTGGTGCTACTTTCCAGTGCGTACGGTCGCTTTTGGTAGCCAAATGTCCGATTATGCCAATCGAGCACATAGAGCGTTGACATTGCTATTAAACTAAAAGAAAGAAAAAATTCATTTAATATCATCGAAAATAAAAATGTCAAAAAAATTAAAAAAAGTGCAAATTATCAAAAACTTGAGAAGTTTCATCAACTTTTTTTTGACATAACGTGGAAATTTTTAACATTTTACATCGTCAGAAATAAAAAGTCAAAAAAACTCCTAGAAAAAAATGAAAATTATCAAAAAGTTGAAAAGCATTACAATTTTTTTTGGAGAATAACGTCAAAAATTTGGACATTTTCGATGTATCACAATCTTTTCTTATTAAAAGTTATCACAATCTTTTCTCAAAGTTATTTTGTAGCAGACGTTACACGCTGGTAAGTAGTACCCATAAGAAAGTAAAAAGCCATTTGTATAGCTCTTGAAAAAGTTGTATGTATCCATTGAAAAGGTGCTACAGCGCTAAAGGATCTGGCACAGCTGTGTCCGGTGTACGAAAGCATCCCAGTAACATCACTAACATAAGATAGTCATACTGAGATTACCTGGGCAATCTTGCAATTTTTTCCCAGGCATTAAAATACTCGTAAAGACAAAAAAAAAGACCTGTAAACAATCCAGGAAAGGACGGAATTACGAAAAACGTACCATACAGCCATAACTGCGACAAGGGCGACAATCGTGCCTTGCGTTAATTTTGAGCTGCAAAGTGGTGGTTCCACTCGATGACATGATGGATTTCGACAGTGCCAATGTTTCTCACGACTCCTACTTCGTTCCTTTCCATCCCTGGAAATTAACAGTTTATAGATGAACAGAAATTTTTCGAAAATTGATTTCAGTTTCAAATTCCTCATGTAAAAGCATTCTCTGATTTGGCGGTCAACTAATAAGCATTCTAACAGAAAACATGCAAAATTATGCTGAAAATTCGAGCTTGAGCTGGTGATGGACTGAACGAAACTACAGCATACTTCAAGAATTTTATTCCAGCCCAACCAATGAAAGCCTATTTGGCACCAGTTAATAGTCCTAGGGCAGAAATCTTGGCTAGACGATGAAACACAGACTGCCTAACATGGTATAAAACTTCATGTTCACTGAATCTACATTGAATAAACATCAAAGACAACAATTAAAATCTTCTACTGTACTTCATTTGAAAGACCGAAGGCGCTTAGACGTTCAACAACAACTTAACAATTCGTACCAATGTATACCTTTTTTAGCCGAAATCATCCGCTGTTAAAATATCTGATAACAAAAATTCATCTTCCCTATCGTATTTTGCCGCAGCCTTGCAAATTAGTTACAAGTACATTCGCAGGCCGATCCAGAGGAAGGGAAAAGAGAGCAAGGTTTGAACCCTTCCTCCCAGCGGTACAGGCGCTAGTGTTGCAAAAGCCGGGTCTGTTCATAAACAGAACTAAAGTAACTCTATTCCTAATTTTTGCACAATTCCAGCGTGGAAGTGACGGGGAGGGGGAATTCGTCTCCCTTCCACCTCTCAAATTTCACCGTCCCACTCCCTCCTCTTCCCTACCACGTCCCGTCGCCCACCCTCTCCCGTCAGGAGTCCATCCTGGATGGTAAGGAGACTGTATAGATGATTCTATCAACTAATCGTTAACAGTACTCTTTCTGTGTTCGAGGCTAAATGATAAAGTACAGACTGCTTCTTATTATTAAATATATGATTTGTAATCACTAAATATACGCCTATTAGAAAGTAAGCAAAAAAAAGGATATCTCATGACTTTGCTTAAAGATTTTGTTATAAGGAACCCACCTGTGATGGCACTTATCACGCGAAATGCATGATGGAGCACTGGAAGCTAGCGATGTGCGTGATGACATGAAACTGGCCTTATCCGAGAAACCGAGATCACTGAGGCCACTAGCCAAACTGCCAATGTCACCTTTATTTTTACGTCGATGCAACCTGGCAAGTTTGTGAGACAACTTCTCAACTGCCTCAATCTTGTGCTCCAAATTGCCCGTGAGACGACAGAGCTCTGTTGCTGCCGCAACTGTTTCGTAAAAAATACGAGAATCATCAACCTGAAACACATACACGTACACTTACGTGAGGCGTGAATAGAAGATAACCTGCCAATGAGGTGGAAGAATCCGTCTGAACGCCTATGTATATGGATGGGGAAAGTGAGAAATGATAAGTAACGGCTATTCGAAGGCCGATTCAGAAGTGGACGGTCCAAGTAGGACAGCCGAAACGGATTAAATTAATAAGAGATTCTTTTGCAGCCACTAGTAGACCGAACCATAATTTCCGAAGTAACGGCCAGTCTGAACCGTGGAAAATACAGAACAGCCGAAATCCTTAAATCTTAATATGGGGTGGAAGATGTAAATGGATTATGATGGGAAAGATAGTAGGGCTGCTAATTTGATAAAAACCGTATGACATGCTGAAAATTCATGCAAAGAGAATTATGTAGAAATTGGTCTGCCTGTGTTTCATCCCCTAACTGTAATCGCAGACTGTATAAAGTGCAGGATGCCAGTACCATCGGCGATAAAAGATAGTAAGATTAAAGCAAAGAAAGATAAGGCAATACATCCTGATGAAAATTAACTGATATGCTAGGCCGTTTGCAGCAGACTGGGGATGTATGGATGTTTCCTTTTGGTGATCAAGTTTGAAATTTTGCCTATTCCTTGAAACTTATCGTGATTTTAAGTTATTAACATTGACTGGAATATTCGCAAGTTCGCATGAAATGAATAGCAGTTTCAAACAAACCTGTAAGAAATCCCCATTGTCGGTCACCGCATCGGGCAAAATTTCCGCTAACTCCTGCGCAATGACACCAACTCGATGTCGATTTTCTTCGGACAATCCCCACTGTAAGGCAATTTCGGGTTTGTAGGAATAGCCAACAACACGGATTTGAGAGAGATGTGAGAGTGCACTTTTGGTGTCCACCTGAAAAATAAAATTTAAAAAAAAAAACTTAACTGATTAGTGAAGTAAAGTTCAGAATTATAATAAAATCAAGGGGCAATACTTGGCCACAATTGGCTACGTGGCCACAGTAATCCAACACAGTATTCAAGTTTTCTGGCAGAAAATCACTGTGAAAAGAATTTTCATTTCGACGATGGTGCTAGGATGCCTAGCATGCCACGAAGTCCAAGCCACCATTTTTTCGTAGCCCTCGAAATTCGATAATTTTTTCAGCAATTGGTCCAGCAGTAAAGGAAAGTATTGTAATTTGAAGCCAAATCCTAATGCTCAGAAAGCAGACTACGGACAGCAATTTTGACAAAAAGGGTGAAATTCGCCTCAAATTAGCATGCGGATCTGTAAAAGACGTAGCTACTGCCGCAAAAAAAAGAAGAGGAAAAGAAGCACAGACCTCACGAATTTCTTCTTTCATCCGACGATCCGATGGACGATGAACAACGCCGGAGCAATAGATATCACCACCGACGGTCAGCGGCGCAACTGCCCGATCGGTACCAATCGCCACCGAACCACTGTTATAGTACAGAGTGGAACCACTCTTTTGCCATGTGGCATCCGAATCTGGCGGTTCGAATTGACCCGGATTTGAAGCCTGTAACAAACAAAAACGCGCTCGCACATACTTTTTTAGGATAAATCCTTCTTATCGATGAGTGAAACAGCTTTATTTCCTGCTCTATAAACGAATTATAACCAAACTGACGCATAACAAGATCAGGGACTGGTAATTCGGATTACCCTGATGAAAATAATGACAATGCACATTTTGAACTACAAACTGATCGGCTACAATAAGTGGCTGGTTCGCCAACTATGCATCTGGCAACTCGTCCATTGCTTTGACCAGTGCTGTATTCCTGGTGGTCAGCTGCTGGCGGTCCTGACGTTCGTTTCATCTTCTCAAACTTGAAGGGTTTTTTTGTAAAAACTTGGGTTAGTCATGGCGTTCGTTCCGGCCACTCAAAAACACGGATTACACGAGGACATCAGCCAATGTACTAATTAAAACGCACCCAACTGCAACTAGGAACACTAACGTTTACCCAACTCAGATGCATTAAGTTGAAACTTTATGGATATCAAATTCACGTGTAGTCTAAATACATGCGAAGATACCGAAGAAGGAAATCGCGGACACTGGTCGGCGGAAAAAAAAGAGGCCGAAATTAGAACAATGCAAAACCAAAGCAAGAAAATAACACGTTTTTGGCCCACTAAATTGTGCAAACGTTTCAGCTCAGTACCGAACTAGTGTGAATACATCATGGACTAGATGCATGGTTGGTCTGAAACCGTTCTCACTACAAGAAATAGGACGGAAAGGAAGGGCCATAGAAGGACAGCCAAAATTGGTCGTTCCCCAAGCAGAATCGATAGGGAGGTCGAAGTTGTAAAGTGGTAATTTGGTAACTTTTAGTGAATTAAAGAGATTTTCGAGTGAATTAAACAACTTACTCGAACAATAACTTTTTCGGATTGATAGGCTTGCACGATTGCATCATGGCCATCAGCTGTACATGCAATCAGTCGCACAACCAGCAAGAAGTATTTTTGGTCAGGATTTGGGCGACCATTCTTCCGCTGATTGTTCATGGTTGTCTCCGAGAAATGTAACCTTGGCACTGTCACTTTTGTCATACGCCGTTCATGGATTTCAAGCCTGAAAAATTACCTGAGCGT